CTTCGAGCTCAAGCTGAAATGTAGGCTACTCAAAGACAGCAAGAAACTGTTGAACAACGTCAAACCAGACTTCAAGCACAAAAATTAAGACAAATAACTTACAGAGAGCAAGAAACAGAGGAGCAACACGATGTACGACTTCAGGCTCAAAGAACAAGACAAGCTCAAACACGATCAAATTTCAAATAAAGTTTTGTTTGATTAAGTGCTTTTTTTATTTCTCGCAGCACAGCTTTTGTCTACTTACTGAATAATTTCCTAAAAAATACTGATCTATACATTTGAAATCTAAATTTTCACAATACAACGCCGGGTAACTCAGCTAGTTACTGATATTTTAATTGTTGATGTCACTTTTGAAGTAGGATTGATATTTTTGTACATTTATATGTTTTAACATGAGATATTAATAATTTCCAAATGGAACTGAAAATTTAGGGAGTGGATTTATTATGAGTTTATAAATGTATATATTTTGAATATATGTGATTTCCTTAATCAGAGATATCTATTATAACATTATCTTAAGTTTAATTTACTGTGGAGTAACTTGGAAGTAGAATTATTAACACCCCATGGAATTATAAATGTATCAATTAAAAATGATCAAACTGTGACCACATAAAAAATGTGTAAAACGTTAAACGTTGATGTTTTGATAATTTGTTATTTGTAAGTGACTTTCATATCCATCTCTTATTTTGTATAAGTGCAAATTTGCTGAAAACAGAATTTATAGACGTGTATTTTCTGATACTTCAAGAATATTTATAAATATAATTTATGTACATTATCTAAAAATATTAACTAATACATATTTAATTTTATTAGCAAAATATACACTTGTAGAAATGAAAGATATAAAAAAAATTGTATGAAGAAAGTTTAATCATCCAACACTGATATCTCAAACCAAACCACGATTCTGTCCTTATTTGAAACATGATGTATTATTTGGTCTCTCAAAACACATAAAACAGATGGGTTTCAAAATAAAATATGGTAAAAAGATGGTGAGACATTTCCAGTGTTTCATTTTTAGTCGTGTTTTATAAGAGGTGTTAACTTTTGAAACATATTTTCACTTGAGACACATTTCACGTCTTACTGGTGACTCGTGATGGATAAGTTACTAATGGTTTGAGCTGGGTTTATATATCCTACATGAATGATTTGTTTATACCAAAGAACTGAGCCTGGGTTAAATATTCCTCTAAAAACTATTTGTTTATGAAAACGAAATTAGAGGACAGTAATTCGATGCTTAACCCTTCACACATTTTTTTTTACTCTGAGGAGACATGTGTAGCAACAAAAACAAATCATTTTTATTTGGGAAACATAAACTATGCATTTCTTTCAGTCCAGACATTTTTTCGTTTTGTTATTTTTCCTTTGAAACCTCAAAACCAACAACAACAAAATCTCACAGAAATCAGAATACCACGAATGTGATATACGTAACGTCCCAAAAATGCAGTACAAATAATTACTTTATCAGTATTTAAGATGATCAGCCTTGTTGATGATAGGTTTTAGAGTAACAGTACCAAGAGTTTTTGAGCAACCGAGCTAGACATATTAAATCTCATGACCCAAGTACCGTGAACCATATACTATTTTATATCTGTTTTAAAATGGAACAACACAGAGAGATCACATCTCGAGCCCTATGTTAATGATTTGAATTGTAACCGAAGTAATATGCAGTAATCATGAAATTACAATATTAGAGGAATTATTGTATTCTACTGTTTGTTTGTTGTTGTTGTACTTGGAATAATTATTCATCCTTACTTAAATTATATCAATCACACAATAGTTCTGTAGATTTGTTCACTTGCTATACAGTTATACACATAAATAAGTAAAGTTGAATAACAGTGGCATTTGAAGTCTGCAGTTCGTAATATTGAGGAAAATAATGCTTATTAAACAACAGAGATTAATATTCAATGAATACATTACGTTGAAAAAAAAAGCCTTTCTAACAAGTTCATGAAGGAAAAGTAAGGCTTTCTGGATTGTTTTATTTTGATTTATGATAAACACTTAGTTTCAAATTAGATTAAAATATAAAGACGATAAATAATAACGTATTTATGCATGCTTGGTTAAAAGTGTCCAATTATTTCATTGTATATTGAAACATGAATTAGGCCTACTTTATCAGTTTAAGAAATGCAAGAAAAAATACGAAAAACAACAACTTCCACTTAAACTCGTACCTCTAGCGCTTATTATTTTATGTATTTATTTGTATGTAGAATTTGGGCCTTAAACAACCATAAAATATAAACCGTAAAATACGAAACTGACCAGCTTTACAGTTATGATAGGACTGTTATGAATAACACCCGAAGTAGATCGATGGAATGCTGGAGTTTTAGTTGATTATGGCCTTTTGCCATAGAGATGACTGGAGTTTTAGTTGATTATGGCCTTTTGCCATAGAGATGACGCTGGTTGTTTTGTTTTTAAGAACAAACATTATTGTCTATTTTATTGTTTTCTAAATTCTCTATTGTTTATACAATTGCAGTAAAGTGTTTTTATTGTTGTATTTGAATGAGGATATTTAGAATATCAATCCGTGTCACTTGAGAGTTAAAACTACTAGCTTAAGTAATACAGTTAAAATTGCAATGTGTAATTGTGGAGAAACATACCTTGAAACGATCCTGAAAAATTAGAAGTGGAACAAAGAATATATTTCCACACTCAGCTAGAGTTGTAATTACATAAATTAATTGTTATTTTTGGTTTGATATCATATTTATTAACAAGTTAGTTTGTAGTGATTATATTATTTTCTTACTTGAACCTTGCCGTTACTTGAATATAATTTATCACGGAATTAAAAAAAACTTGCCTAACATTTTAAAGGCAATAATTCAATTTTAACTTAAATAAACAATATGACTGAATCTCAAGCACAAAATATGTCATTCCTAGTCCTGGTTCTCTTTGTTGTGATATCAAGGAAATGATGTCATGGGTGTTGAGTTTTGACCAAAATTCACAAAGGATTATTTCATAACATTAACGCAGCTGTTTGTAGCTTTTAAACACAATTTACAGTAAATATATCATGTTAGTGTTATCAAGTTGTACTTCTGGTACTCATAAACTGAGCGTTAGCGATAATAATAAATAGTTTTTGGTAAAATGTACTAGAATGTTCTTTTTTGATAAACTTGTGATAAGTCAAGTTGAGAAGATACGGAATCGTAATAAACTTTGATGAAACGTTGTTTATTTTCTTATCTAATTTTTCCTACATATAAGTATATATATATATATATAATTAGAAAAAAATCAGATTTCAAGGTTACAAATAACGATATCTGTGTCATTGCAAACTTCTGTACTAGAGATGTTAAATTAAATAAATCGACTAAAAATTCATGAGAACAGAATTACTGCATGGAGTTAACGGCTGTACAAAGAAATAAGAAAAAAAAATACTCCAACTGTCCCCAAGACAAAAGCGTGAACAGACTTGATCATCTGACCCCTCCTCCAATGCCTCAGTTACATCTGTTTCTTATGGCATTGCTTTCTTCCAATAACAGGTCACCAAGGACAGTAACAATTTCTCGGGCAACGTGCCGACAGTGCTCATTCCTTCGTTCAGTTCCAACCAATCAGAGAGCTACAAGGTGTGACATCACGCATTGTAAATCAGCTAGGTGGGCCCGAAGATCAGTGAGAGATCAGAGTAAGCAGTCAGTATAGTGTTCGTTCACATGCAGTGATGGCGCCTAGAGAAAAGGAACGCTGGAGAACGCTGGCTGTCCTGACATTGTGTTGGTGGCTTTACCAACCTTCTGCCAGTAATCAAGGTAAGACGGGATTCTCTCTGTTTTTGTTTTAGGGGGTTTTCTGAGTTAGGTTAAAGTTTCATGGTACATAATTTTTGGCACAAGGTTTAAAAATACTGGGCTACTTCACGTGATTTGTACACGCCGTCACATGCAGTTTCCCAGGTCAGACTATTGGCGGACCATCAGAAAGTCATTATCAGCGCGATAGCGTTAGTGTTATCGAAGACTTTCTTTGAAAGCTCAGTTTGTTAAAACTAAGTGTGAGCCATCAGGTAGCTATTCTGAATTTTATTATCTAACAGAAATCGTTGTTGGCAACATTATTAACCTTAGTGCTGCAGAAACTCTTAGAAAGTTCAAGCATAACTGGTGGCTGTTAGAAACTCGTTATTAACTTTTAAAGATTTATTTTATACTATCAGTATCATAATCACTTGTTAACCGTACAGGTTGAAGTACAGTGGAAATTGATTTTACTTTAGTCTATCGTTTTCTTTATTTTATTTTAGAAACCTTTGAATAAAATTACGGTCGATATTACAATAATCATGGACCGTCAGATCATCATAGTTAACGATTTAAGCCACAATATACATATATACAGATGAGATTGTTAGTTTTATTATCCTAATTTTATCAGTCCGTGCGCTGAAAGTGTGGACGAAACTACAGCAGAAAACGGTCGCTAGCGAAGTTCAATATTATTAACTATTATTGTTAAAAACAAACAAAAACTCATCTTAAGATCTTCTTAAGTATTCATTAAAATGTGAGCTGGAAGCAATATCAACTGTCAGGAAATCACATTAGATATTCTAGTATGATCAGGATACTTTCTTGAAAGACATCTTATTACTGTTAAGAACCGTAAGGAAACTGTTGCTACTGAAACTATGTAGTCACTTTAAAAATACTGCGTGATAAGATCACGTGTATCAGTTTTAAAAAATCGTACTTAACGAACAATCTGGTTGTTGTATAATTATTAATTTTAGAGTGGACCAGTGAGCTATATCGAGACGCTAAAGATTGCCCTTAGAACTAACTATTGAACGCTTGTATTCTTCACATCTCTGTTCAAGCTTCACCTTACAAAGTAGAAGCTTATATCTAGAACTTACTGTATAGAGTACCAGTTGGTGTTGTAAATGTACAAAAGAGGGCGTGATGGCTATTATAATCCATGAAATGCAAACCAGCGGTCAGGCTTTGTGACACCCAGAAACTCATATAGTTATTCTGTCGGGCTCACCGGAAAGTTCGCCTCAATCATACCACATCTGTGCAAACAAGGGATTCAAATTACTGGGCTCGACACCTTGGTACTGGAGGATATCTAACACAGCAGCCTAGCAAGCATTGTATATATCTCTCAAAAGCTTTTATTTCGTTTTTCTTGGGTCATTGATAAGACTCAGGGAGTTGGAAATGGGGCTAATACTTCTTTTGTAAATGAAAAAAAGACGGTATTATTGGTGGAGGACGTAGCGTCCTGAGGTAAACCACAATAGAAATACCTTATATTGAGCCTTGCTGTGTGTTCATTTCCCCATGAACTCCAAACCTCCACAAAGAGATGATAGTGGTCAATTGAGATAAAAGTTTATTTTATAGACTGAATTCCAATTTTGAGAATTCTTATCAAGGCGGTTACTCATACTTGGAAGCCTATAATCCCAGGTTTAAGCTTTCTTACTAAGGTTGGATACTTAGGATCCCTGTTGAAGAGGGTATATAGAAAGATAAAAATTTTAACCTTTTTTTTAATATTGAAGACACAGAATCCCTGGTTTAAATGTTTTTAGTGAGGCGGTATCTCGTAGTTACAAACTTAGAATTCCATATTTTAAGTTTCTTACTAAGGAAATATTTCATATTTTATTCTTGGAGCTGCAGAATTTCAAATTTCAGTTTTTCAACGTTTTTACTCATATTCGTGTTATCTCATATTCGGAGTTAGAGAAATCCATTCAGCTTTCAATGTTTTGAACGAAACGGTAATCATACTTGAACACATAGTATTTCAGATTTTAAAGCGTTTTTATCAAAGAAATATTTTGTACAAGTGGATTTAGAATTCTTTACTAAGGTAGTATCTCACACCTTGAGACATAGAATCCTAGAATTTAAATATCTTTAACGATATTGTATCTCATATTTTAAAACCCAGATTTTACCTTGGAGTTCTATTATCCCAACTTTTAAGCTTTCTTACCATTATGACGTAGAGTCAAACTTCTTACTTGGAGGCTAAAATGTAATAATTTTAACGCAAAAGCTTCACTTATTGTTTAAAATATTGTTTTATGTAAAGAAAGTGAAATTTAAATTGCTTTTAACAAAATATCATGTTAATTTTTGCCTTTTAAGGTTTTAAATACTTTATAACATTTTGGTATACTTTTCGTAATAATCTCTCGGTTTAAATTGTTTGTTATAAATTTCGCGCAAAGCTACACGAGGGCTATCTGCGCTAGCCGTTCCTAGTTTAGCAGTGTAAGACTAGAGGGAAGGCAGCTAGTCATCACCACCCACCGCCAACTCTTGGGCTACTCTTTTACCAACGAATAGTGGGATTGACCGTCACATTATAACGCCTCCACGGCTGAAAGGGCGAGCATGTTTGGTGTGACAGAGATTCGAACCCGCGACCCTCAGATTGCTAGTCGAGTGCCTTAACCACCTGGCCATGCCGGGCCCTCTCGGTTTAAATTGAAGAGAAGATGAAAGCAATGCTATGTTACTGTTAAATAGAAGAAAGAAAGAAATGTTATCTCAGACGTTAACCAAACAGAGATATTTGATATCAGAAGTTATTGGTACATGGATATGTGATATCAGCCGTTAGCGGAACACAAAGACATAATGTCAGTCGTTAAGAGATGTCATGTTAGACTCTAGTAGAACTGAGAACTGAAGTCAAACCTTAGCAGAAGGAAGGATTTATATTTACAAATTAGCAAACTTAAATGTGGAGATGTATACGATATGCCCCCCCCCCAGTGGCACAGCGGTATGTCTGCAGACTTACAACGCTAGAAACCTGGTTTCGATACCCGTGGTGGGCAAAGCACATATAACCCTTCGTGTAGCTTTGTGCTTAACTTCAAACAGACGTATATGATATTAGGGCATTTGTGGTTCAGAATTTAGTTATTCATACATGATTCTTATCGACTGTCGTTCAAAACCATCAGCCTCAACATGTTTTAAAAATTCATGTTCATGTTTATAAGTATTAGATACATAATATACAACTATTAAGTAATCCCGTGGGCTGGGCTTGGCATGCCAGTGCTGTAAAGCAGAAAATTCGTGATTCACGAATATTTCTAGATCTCTGCATTTTATGGCCGTGTTTTTGCTGTAACTTTGTGTGTTTGTTTGTTTGTAATTAAGCACAAAGCTACGCAATGGGCTATATGTGCTCTGCACCACGTATATTGGAAACCCTGTTTCTAGCGTTGTAAGTCCGCAGACATACCGCTGTGCCACGTGGGGGGG